CGACCACCTGAATGTGGCTGCTTGTTGAGCCCGCCCCGGGCTGTGGCACGCAACTTCAGCCCCCATTTCAGGTGTAAGAGTTGACCCCATCATCCCACCGCTTGATTTGTCACATGGATTCGTGCTAACAGGGTACCTCGCCTATTTTCTCTGTGGGATTCTAGAAGACTCTTTGAAGACAAGGTTGCCCACCTTCAGGAAGTTTGGCAGGCATCAACCTGATAAGTTATGGTAAATGTTGAGTGGATGTAAAAAGGTGAATGTAGTCCTCCAAATGGCAGGTTTGCTATTCAACCTGCACTCTGGAGACAGCACTCAAAGACCCGACTCAGGTGTGCAGAATGGTGGGGTGGGGTAGCGGAGGAAAGGTAGCTGTTACGATTGTCAGTCTCTTAGGAGTTTGAAATTCATTCATGAAAGGGTTTCCGCGCTGGGGCTCCTCCAGCGGGCGTGGGAGGGGCTTCTGCCGCGAGGGGGCGGGGCTGGCTCACAGCCAGAGATTTTCAATTGGAAACCTAGCTGAGAGAGGAAGAAGAGAGGAGGCGGCCGCGACAGGGCGGAAGCGGTACCAAAACAAGCTCCGGAGCTTAAGCTGTGGCCACGAGTACTGAAGTAGGGCCTACCCCACACCCCACCCCCGTCTGAAGTGAAGAAGGTATCAGACCAGTTAGGAGCAGATGCAACCAAGCACAAACCTAAAGAAAGAGCAGAAAACCAGCAGAATCAGTCATCTGATCCAGAGGAGGAAAAATGTTCCCCCCAATCATCTCCTCCAACTGAAAGCCAAAGTAGCCCCCACCACCAGAGGAGAGAGAAGGTTTGGTCTGAGAGCAGGTGTACTTTTCATTTCATGCCTCCATGGCTTAAGAAACAGAAGTCCTGTAGCTTAGTGGCCAGAGATAGAGGAGATAAGAAAGCCTGCTCCAGCTGTTGTGCAAGAGCAGGTTTTAAATAAAGAGGAGCCACTCCCTGGAGGAGAAAGATAGGCCAAAGATGACACTGGAGAAACACCTCGGAGAAAACAACAGATCAAGGTTGATGTTAGGGAAGAGAAACCTTCAGTGAGCAGTCCTGAGACACAGCCTGCTCAAGAAATAAGGAAGGAGAGAGAGAAGGAGAAGATAAAGGAAATACGGGAAGACAAATCAGAAGCAGCAGCAAAAAGGGAGACAGAGAAAGTGCAGACCAATGAGCTGAAAGCAGAGGAAGAACGCCTCTCAAAAAACCACCGACAAGACCAGAGCTGTCCAGTGTAAAGTCACCTTCCTAGATGGCTTCGAGTACCGCTATGACCTGGAAACGTGCTAACGGCCGAGTGTTATTTGACAAAGTGTGTGAATGTCGTAGTCTCCTGGAGAAGGACTACTTTGGATTTTATTTCAGGAAAGCCCGGAGCAGAGAAATTGGCTAGATCCCGCAAAAGAAAGAAAGAGACAACTGCAAAAACTTCCCTAGCTGTTCACCTTTAATGTGGAGTTTTATCCTGATCTGCCTCAATTGACTGAAGATATCTCCAGATACTTCTTGTGTCTTCAACTTTGTCAGGACATTTCCTCTGGCCATTCTTTAGTGACTCATGCCCTCTTGGGGTCTTACACATTGCAGGCTGAAATTGGAGACGATGACCCACAAGAGGATGCCAGTGGCGACCTCAGTGACTTCCACACAATTGAAGGAACTGGAAGAGAAGGCGGTAGAGCTGTCTAAAACCCACAGGGGCTTAGCTCTAGCACAAGCTTATCCTCAGTTCTTAGTGCAAAGAGGCTTTCCATGTATGGTGTTGACCTACATCATGCCAAGGACTCAAAAGGCGCGGACATCAAGCTGGGCATGCATGCTAATGGGATCCTCATTTACAAACTGAAAATCCATTGGCTGGAATTTGCATGGCCGGAAATCTTGAAAATTTTCTATAAGCATGGTAACTTCTACATGAAAGTTAGGCTAACAGAGCTGGACACGGTTTGAGACCACTACTATTGGATTCAAACTGCTGAACCATCGGGCTACAAAACGACTATGGAAAGTGTGTATGGAATATCATACTTTCTATAGGCTTGTATCTCTAGAGCAGCCACCAAAAGTCAAGTTCCTGACTTTGGGGTCCAAATTCCTCTACAGTGGCTGCACCCAAGTTCAGACCCACCAGGCAAGCACCCTCACTGACAGGCGAGCACCACACTTTGAGCACACCTCTAGTAAACAGGTCTCCAGGAGTCTAGATGGAGCTCCAGTTGGTGTTGTGGACCAAAATGTTTTGAAAGATTTTCCTGGCCCTGCTGGGGACGTTTCAGCTTATGGCCGCGGAGTGGTCAGCACTGCCATGGTACAAGACACGCATAGCAGAAGGGACATCAGAAGCGCAACCAAACCCCCACATGTGCCGCTCATTGAAGGAAAGAGTTCCCATGAGACTCTGAATGTAGTGGAGGAAAAGAAGCAGGCAGAAGCTGGGAAAGATGAAAGAGTATAATCACTGAAGGAATGAACGGTAAAGAGATATCACCTGGGAGTGGTCCGGGGGTGATCCGAAAGGTGGAGCTTCTGACGCAGAAAGACTCCACCGCCCTGTCTCCTGAGAGCAGCACAGCAGCAGCAGTGCGAGTGAGGAGGGAGATGTGGGAGAGTACTGGCCCCATCACCATGGGACCAAGGACACCATAAAGGAAGAAAAGGAGGATGAAGAAGAGGTGGAGGAAGAACCCGGCAGAGCAGCAAGGTAGAGAGGGAGGAACCAGGGGCAGAAGCCAGCGCAGGCAAACAAGGAGGGGCCCGTGTGAGCACAGTAGAAACAATGACCCAGGAAACTAGTTGCCCCAAAGATGTCTGCAGAGAAGGGGTACACAAAGGCATGACTGAGCAAGAGATGAGTGACGAAACAGGATGAGCAACGTAAAGTTAACGGAGAGGTGTCTCCTGTTGACATGGACGTTTTTGCCACAAATTATTTGTTGTTCAGTGCCACCAGTGGTAAAAACCGAGAGGATGACCATTTCTGATGCCTCACAAAAGACAGCAGTCGCCACCAAGGCAGTCCATGTTGTCCAAACTGAAACCAGAGTCATCATGTTGAGTCTCTGCAGATGGATGGCGGGGCTGGCGGTGACTCAGGCACGTTACAGACCGCACAAACCATCACATCGGAGTCCATGTCAACGACGACAGCGACAGCCACACACATCACCAAGATCTGAAACAAGAATGGAGAGAAACGCAACGTGGTCACAGGAGACGCAGATATTGGTGATGACCGGGCGCTGCCCCAGGCCATCAAGGGCAGCCGAGGAGCAGCAGCACCCCGACATGTCGATTATGAAAGTGGTGGTGCACCAGGGACCTGAGTTGGAGGAAAGGGCAAGAGTAAGTTAAGAATTTCTTTTTCTAAATTACAACATTCAACTTTGTGAACCTGAAGAATTTTGACCGTTCTAAGTCTTAATGCCACATCACTACAGCGAATTGATACGACAGCTGGTAACAGCGACCAGCAGCCTGAAGAATGAAAATGCCAACACCAACCTTATCTTAATAGCTCTGGTCTATACTGTTCCCTCCTCACATTTTAATATATAACTTTGTTTTATAAACACTTCTAAATAGTCTTAGTTGTTCCTTTTGTTGTTGTTAATTAGGGAGTTTTGGGGGGTTTTTTGTTTCCTATTTATTTTGTGTACAACTACCTGCTTTTTATGACTCATTTTGATCCACTGAGAATGAACAAAGCCAGCCCCAGCTGGTGAGGTAGCCGTCCCTTGAACAGGTGCTCTGGTTTGGAAAGGAAACTAATTTAGATAGTGGCTCTCCTTCCAGCTTGTTCCCATTGAATGCCCATTGAATTACGGTAAATATTTACAGAGTTTTCAGATGGCAGCGAATATACTGTATGAGAAAATATTAAGACAGGTTAAAAGCATTTCTTACATCTTGAACATTTTCTCATGTTTGAGAAATTCATCGGGATTTTTTTTTTCTATATTGAACCCTTTTGACTTTCCAGTCCTGTGACTTTGTACTTCTAGTGGAAAAGTCAGAGACTCTCCAGACTGGAGAATTATGAACAAGTTCGCTGACCGTGCACTGCGTTCAGAGACCTTATTGTACTACAGTGCCAACGCTTCTCAAACACGTGCTCTCTGGCAGCATTCCAGAAACAGAAGGGAGGAGGAAGAGAAAACGAGTTCTTCCCTTCTACTAAAATACTGAGGCAGTTTAAGGGCCGGCCGAGTAGCTCAGTTGGTTAAGTGCTCGCTCAAGAGCGCGAGCCCTGAGCAATAGCAGTTCGAGTCCCGGCCCAAGTTGAGCTGCCAACAGGTGGCAGGATGGCCCAGCTAAAAAATAAATTAAATATTCAGGCAGTTTAAAACCTTAACGCCTTCTTTCTTAACATGTCCAAATTTCAGTACTTTCCGGTATTTGAATGCTTGTACAGGACACTTGGTATTGAACCTCCTCGTCTACATGTAAAGCTGACCTTTTTTGTTACTGAGCAGGTCTGTCTCATTTCAGACAGTTTGCTGGTTCACACAGGTGTGAGGACCCTGGGGAGGGGAGTAGGGGCTGTGGCGGGTTTTGGATGGTTATAAGAAAGCTATACCATTTAAAGCTACACCAGAGACCGGATAGGGACTTAAGTGCATTGAACATTTTTTTCCTTTGCTGTTGACCCTATGTACAGTTATGAAGCCATATTAGATTTATAGCAGCTTTAAGTTGTATTAGATACTTTGCTTTCCATACTATTGTTATAAAGTTTGTTTATTCTCTTATAAAAAATTCATTTATTAAAAACAAATCCTTTGTGACAGACAGCCCAGGGGCACCCGGGATGGAAACTCAAGCAAGTGTGGTCGGTCCCTGGGCCTGGAGAGCTGTCGGGTTTACCCACAAGTCGCAGAGGATGAGACCCCACCAGTAGGGCGGGGCTCCTTCTCAGCCCGCCCCGCTCTTACGCATGCTGACTACCTGTCCGGTGGGACTCACTCGCTGCCCTGTCTCCACAGTGCTGCTCACGGCCGTGAACTGTTACAGCGTGAAGGCTGCCACTCGGGTCCAGGATGCCTTCGCCGCCGCCAAACTCCTAGCGCTGGCTTTGATCATTCTGCTGGGTTTCATCCAGATTGGCAAGAGTGAGTATATAGCCCCTGGGTCCTGACAGCCATGCTGTGAGGCCCTGCTGTGCCTGGGGCGACGCGGGAGTCCCTCCTTCTGAATGCCCCCGGCCCTCAGATCCGCCATGCTCTGACATGTCCCCCGTCACCTGCTCTGCGTCCTCACCCTAAACAGGGGGTCTACCCCTTCGAATGCCCCCAGCCCTCAGGTCTAGCATGCTGGCATGAGCTGGGTTACACCGTCCCAGGAGAGGCACTGACATTGAGTCAGACTGTGCATCATTCCAGCGTGGCGGAGGGTGGGTGTGGGTGGGATGCTGACATGGGGGGTCGCGGAGAGAGCTTAGCACTGTGCCTGACACATCGTGAGCATGGCAGAGAGGAGCTGTTGCTAGTTTTGTCTCTCATGGGGGTAGATCTTACACATAGGCACATACATAGATCGTAGGTGCCCAATTGTAGCTGCCCCTCCAAAGGGAGAATGTAAAACAGCCTGGACCTCAGCAGGGCCCTTCTGCCCACGGATGCCCCCACCCACCAGTGTCCACATGCTGACCTCACCCCCATGACCAGCACTTTGCCCTATCACGTGGGTCGCCCACACCCCACATGGTGTTTGGTGGCAGTGCATCCTTTCACGAGTGGGCCCTGTTCCTTGTGAATGTGCTGTGATTTGCTTATTCTCTGGGCAGGGATGGGGTGGACCCTGCGTTTCTGGCCACAATGGAAAGTGCTGTCAGGAATACTCTTGGAGGTGTCTCTTGGTGAACAGTACTGATTTTCCCAGGAAGGGGTGGACAGCAGGCCCAGGGTAGGCATTGGCTTGGATTCCGCAGATGAGCGATCCTACAGTGGCTGGTCCAAGGCAGGGTCTGAGAGCGCCTTTAGAAGAGGTCACCACACAGCAAGCTCCCCAAAGTCCCGTAGGGTGGGGACAGGTGGGACACAGGGGCCTCACTCGATGTCTGAGTGCTGTTAGAAAGCTGGGACCATAGAAACCAGCCCCTATGTCCCCCAGCTCACCAGGGCCACCGCTGGCCTGATGCAGCTGGTCCTGGAGGCAGCTCAGAACTCTCTCACTGGGAGAGCCAGGATTCAGGTCGCTTCCACAGTCTCGTGCAGGCACAGGGGCTGCATGCTCCTCTCATGTCAGCTCTCCTCCACTGCGAAGCCCCATGCAGGTAGCAGCTATCGTCATAACCCACCCTCTTCTTGTACTTTGGGACTGGCTAGCTGTGACTTGTGTGGATGGTAAACCCCTAATGGCCCCATACCTGTGTCCTTGGGGCTTCTGCCTGTGACACCCAGAAATCTATCCTTGCAGTTCTGGACTCTCCTGCTCCCCCTAGCCCTCTCTGGCCACATGGAGCACCACACTTTGCAGGAATCTGGCGTCCACCGACCATGGGACTGTGCAGGGAGGATGCTTATGATTCAGGAGAATTGGGGGTGTACTTGGGGCTGCAGTGGCTGCCACAGCTCCTGCCTCTGCCGGTCCTCTCTTAGGGTAGAGAGAAGCCCACCATTCTTGTGTAAGCTGACCTGGTAAAGCGGAAGCAAGAATCTAGATAATCCAGGCAGACCATCTTTACTAGATACATTAATATGTACCAAGCCTTTAGTATGGCACCTGGCACCTAGTAAGAACCCCGCTCCCGTAGCCATAATCGTCATCATCATTGAAGGGAACGTTGCACCTGATTTGCAGTCACTGTCTATGGAAGGGAGCCCAGGTCACTGCTTCAGGAGCTGGACTTCCTGTTGGGAGTGTGCATCTGACCAGTGGTGTCAGGTCAACCCTGGAAGTCCTTGTAGCCCACCAGGCAGGGCTGGGGTGAGCCAGAATCTGTCTTTAATCCCTGGCCTCGTGGAGAGCTCATGGGTTAGGACTGATGGGTGAACAAAATCCATCCTACACCCACCAGCCGGGAAGTGGGTCATCTGATGGAAGCCTTGCTTGTGAAGGCATTTGCTTGGCTGGTCTGATGAGATATAGGAAGATGAGGAATGTCGCAGGGGGAACCTGACTTTTGTAAAAACAAATTTCAGTGGGGATAGCAAAGAGCTTTTGTTCGACTTGAATCTATAATGTGTTTATAATTCTGTTACTGTTGAAAACATCCTCCCCCAAAAAACAGTTCCTTTTTGAACTCAGGATATAGTGCAACGTCTGCAAAATTCCTGTCTCCTGTTATTCTTGAAGAGATTTATTTTGTTCCCAGATGAATGCCTTCCTTTAGAGCACAGACACATTGTTGAAACGTTGACCACATTCTCCCACCACAGTTATCTGACTCTGTTTCCCTCTTGGGCAGCCTGCCCGACCCCCGTGGATCCCCAGGGCGATGGCTGGTGGGAGGACTGGATCCTTCCGCAGGGGCTGAGCTTCGTGTGCCGAGTGGCCTCTGGCCGTCCTGTGTCCGGAGAATGAGACCTGCTGCCTGGCACGCTGGCCCAGGCGCCGTCTCCGTCCTTTACCCTGGGGGACCACACCACCCAGCGATGAGGCAGTTTTCCTCCTCAGCTCTCCGGGCCCGAGGCTGCAGAAGGGGCTTAGGAGGCCCAAGTTCAAGTCCAGCTGGCCACTCGTCAGCCACCAAGCCTCTGTTGACCTCGCTTCCTCATTGCAATGAGACCCATGCGCAGTCCTACCCTTGTTCTTTACCAGAACTTTCTGAGGCTCCCAGTGCGGCTCCGGGCAGAGACCCAATGAAGACATGGCCCTGCCGTCCAGAGCTGGTGCTGTGGTGCAGGACGTCGACATGAACAGGAACATTGTAGACGGGCTGACGGGGCTCCAGCCCAGACCAGGAAGGCCCTTCTGAGGGCGGGAGGGGAGGGCTGGATGAAGGCACAGAGTTTAGTGTGACAAAGGGACTGCTCTGCCGGGCCCCAGGGCTGAGATCTTGGGTGTGGCAGGAGCTCAGGCTGCTCCTGTGGCTGGGAGTCCGGGGCGCCGAGGCAGCGGGGCATGCGGGGCCTGGTGGGTGCCATCCGAGGTGTCTGGATTCACTCCCAGCTTTCTCAGAAGGGAAAATTGAGCTCAGGTGGGCATTTCAGATCTGGGTGGTCAGAGCAGCCATCGCAGGAAGTGTGGATAGTGGCAGCTTGGCTGGGGGAAGCCACAGAGAGAAGCAGGCGGACGTGGTAGGCAGAGAACACTTTGCAACTCAGGATGATCTCCCCAGCTGCCTCCACCTGCTTTTGTTCTTTTTGTGTTGGCCTCTTACCTGTGACACCCTGCAGGGTCCACAACCCCAAGGTCAGGCTATTCCCAAAGCTGAGCAGCATTTCCATGGCCAGAGAGTGGGAGTGAGGTGTGGAAGGCTTGTCCCTTATACCCAGGTCCCTCCTGGAGGCCTCACAATGGGACTCTTGTGATTTTGCTTGGGCTGCGGCATCCGGTGGGAGAACAACTCGTGTCTCCTTGAGCAGTTGCAGAGTGGATTGCATAGTTGTGCAGATATAAAAGATTCCACAAAAACGCTTTCTTTCCATTCCATGTTGCATCCGAGCAGGACGCCCTCCACTCGGAGGTCGTGGGAGTAGATGTCCCCTGCACCCAGGCCCAGGCTCCAGCCCCTTGTCCTCTCTGGCAGCTCACACGAGCTTGCCCAGTTGCTGGGATGTTGTCCCCAAGATCCAGATCGGGTGTGGTTAGCACCGGGAGCGGAGGCACTTAGACTCCTCGTTGATTACCCCCTGTGACCAGCATTGTCCGAAAGGGATGGGGGGGATGGGAGACTCGAGGAAGCAATGAGAGATGCCCCCAGCCGGAAGGGGCAGCCTTGCAGTGGGGAAGGCCCAGGCAAGCCTCTAAATGACAGTGTGCTCCCAGGGCTAGCGACTGATCTGAGTCACTTTAGAGTTGGCATTTGGTTCTTAGGTTAATGGACCCCCGAGACTTAGAGAAGCAGTGGCCTGTACTGTCCCACATAGCAGTGTCAGTCACCCCACAGGGCGCCGTGTGCGGGGATGTGAGCTCCCCTGGGGGAAACCCCAAGAACAGTGTTGGGCTTCATGGGGGAGGTGATGGGAACGGCCCCTGCAAACAGGCCAGGCAGCCCGAGAGCCCAGGCACGGGCAGGGTGGAGTCCCTTGTCCTGGGAGGCGTCTGGGTCTTGAGGACGCCTTTCCTTGGGTAGGTCCCTTTGAATCATGGAACCTTGGTTTCCTAGTCCATGAAATGGTGACACTAGCAGCCTCAGGACTGTTGGGCTATCTGTCTGGCTGTCATGAAGTGTTGCCAGGCACCTCAGTAGCCTGTAAAATGGACTGTCCTTCCTTTGCAAGGAAGAGATTGGCATATCAAGCGCTCCCAGGCCTGGCCTTCCCCTTAGGAAAGACTTGAAGTTGCCTGTGACAGCCCATCTCAGAGGGGATCAGCATTAGGCCGGGACAGCAGGACGCTGTACCTTGGGGTTGGAGCACAGGACTGGAATTCAGCTCTCTGTACCAGTCACCCATGCCCCAGGAGACAGGGATGGGGCCCTGGGCCCCTCCCCACCAAGGGCCAGTCTACTCCTCTGGAATGCCCATGTGGCAGTCACGCAGCAGACATGGGAGCCCCTCGGCTGCTGTGGAAGAACTTGTGGCAATGAAGCCATGATCAAGGGAAGGTTGGTTGTTTTTCCTGTGGGTGTTCTTTGATAATTTTTAATCGAGTCCTTCCATCGGGCCTGCACGGCTCCATGCTAATTCAGCATCCAGAATCATAACAGATTTGCAGTCACATGCTTTGTGTGCTGCCCTCCGGGATGAAATCAAAGGCCCGGAAGTTGGGCTTTTCCCCACTGCCACCCTCGGCTCACTGTGCCCTGGGCCGTCAGCTGCACCGACAGAGCAGTGGGGGCCAGAGCTGCAGCACGAATGGTGGTGCATCCCCAAAGCCCTGTGCTGGCATGGTTAGTTCTCAGGGGTCTCTTGCAGCCTGTGCAGTGGGGATGGGTCCTTTCCAACTAGGATTTGAGGCTTAAAGCTGATGGTGAGGCTAAGGGGCCGGCTCTGCCAGGATTTTA